TCCAGTCGTGCACATACAGCCACACAGTGCAATGTTGAAACTATATAAACGCCCAGATTTGAAATGGGAGTTGAGGAAAAAGCCAGATGTGTTCTGTTGGAATGTTCAGCGCTGTGTTACGTGTACTGAGGACAGCATGTCAATTTGATCTTTGAAATAAACGCTCTTTCTCCCGTCCTGGGGCAAATCAGATGATCAACTGAAGGTGTCCTGATTTTTGATTTTCTATCATTGAAAACCACCATTGAAAAAACATATTGTCGCATCGTCTTTCCACCAAATAATAGAAAAGTATCGATAGTGGTATAGATAAAGACTCGGATCGATAAGCAGTATCGATAAAGGTATCAATATCAATAAATACTAACGATCCCCATCCCTATTTAGATATGAGGTTGTCCCGGTTGCGTTTTTTTTTTTTTTTTTTGGCCGTATTTAGCAGACCGAAGCTAGTCGGCATTGTAGCTGCGCCATAGCAAAGTAACTGCAGGTAAGTCGTGCATGGAAAGGTACTAATTGGTTGGTTGTTTTTAATGGTGAATATAAAGTTTGAAAAGTAATTACCGGTAGTTGAATCTAACTCAGTCCTTTGTTCTTTCTCCATAGGCAAAACGAGTCCTGCAAGATCTTCTTTTTTTTTTTTTTTTCATAACCAAAGTTGGATTTTTTCATCCTTTTGGTGCAAGTCACAAGCAGTTACAGGAAAACCTGCCCAGCCATCTTCCAGTAGTTGCCTGATGGCCTCCTCACTGTCCACAGAGTAAGCTAAACGAACTGCTGCAAAAATTAGTTTATCTGCTGAATGAGTTTTCATTGTCAGTTTTATTAGACCCATAACAGTTAAATAACCTCAAAAACAGAAAATAAATTACACATTTATTTTATTTTATTTGAACAAATTAAGTCATGTAATCTTTCTTCCCCATTTCATTTACCAAAATGTTTAGTTGTGAACTTTGTAGTCATAACTGTGAAACAAAATTCTCATTTGTGAGACATATGAAAATTCATAAGAATGTCCGAAACTTGACCTTCAAATGTGTTCTCCCTGACTGCAACCGCATATTCAGAAAAATCAACGTTTTCAAAACACATGTGTACAGAGTTCACCCCACTAAACACCAAAGGAGATCAGATGAAAGTGGCTTTTTAGGCCAGTGCACTGATATTTCTTGTCATGTGGATTTTTGCACTGCAAAGTGTGATAGTGTTAACAATTTACTGTCTCACTTAAAGGTTCACATTAGAGAGGGTAGGCCAGTTTCTTGTCCATTTAGAGACTGTGACAAACACTTCCTTTTTGTGTCTTCATTCTCATCCCATGTATCAAGAACTCACAAACAATGCACTGAGAGAGACATTTCAAGCTCTTTGACCTCAGATAGAGAAGTTATGCAGGCAGTGTGTTCCGGTGAACAAGCAGAGAACGAGGGTATACAAGAAAACGTTCTGGATGATGTTGAGGGAGAGGAAGAGCAATCAGATGTTTTTCCTGAGTGTGCTGATGAATTCTTCTTCTTAAATAGTTTAGCATTATTTTATCTTAAACTGCAGGCAAAACTATTACTCCCATCTTCAGTTATCCAGACCATTATTGAGGATTTACAGGACATACATGACGTCAGCCAGTCTCACCTATTTTATAGGCTCAAAGAGAAGTTGGTGACGCTAGATATATCTGAAGGTGATATAAACAACATTGTGGATGTCCTAAAATCGGAGGATCTTTTTCGGGTGTGCAACACGAGTACATTTAAGACTGATAAAAGAAGAAAATCTTATTTCAAAAGTCAGTTCAGATACATTGAACCAGTTCCAATGTGTCTGGGACAGAATGAGTCTGGCAAGGAATGCTTTGCCCAATATGTGCCCATTGGAGACTCACTCAAGTCACTCTTCCAGTGTGAATCAGTCAGACAGCAAGTGCATTCCCATAAGCCTCCAACTAAACCAACAGACACGCTGGAAGATATATGGGATGGTAGCAATATTGCAAAAAATGCATTATTCCAGTCTGATCCAAAATCCTTGGGCCTAATCTTGTATCAAGATGCTTTTGAAGTTGCAAATCCACTGGGATCTGGGAAAAAAAAACATAAAGTTCTTGCTGTGTATTTTTCATTAGCAAATGTGGCACCACACAACAGGTCAAGTGTGGATCAAATGCAACTGGCATTATTATGTCGAGAGCAAGATTTTAAGTACTTTGGCCATGACAAAGTATTTTCATCTCTTATAAGAGATCTGAAAGATATAGAAGAAAATGGTTTGCTCATATCTAATGGACAGGTATTCAGAGGCACATTGTGTGCGATCGCAGGCGACAACTTAGGATCACACAATATAGGTGGTTTCACTGAGAACTTTAGCAGGAGTACTCACTTCTGCAGATTCTGTCTTATTGATCGTGAAACTTTCACCTCCTCTATCTTGACAAAAGCCCCACTCAGGACAGCTGAATCATACAATGACCATGTGCAGCAGTTGGGTACATCAGACTTATCTGCAGGAATCAAGTTTGATTCAAAATTCAATGATCTGTCCTTCTTCCATGTATGCCAACCTGGTCTACCTCCATGCTTAGGGCATGATCTGTTTGAAGGTGTTGTGTCATATGATTTGGCCCTGTATATCAGCCATATCATCACAAAGCAAAAGGAATTCAGTTATGTAGAGCTAAATCGCCGCATAAATGACTTCCATTACCTTGGCAGTGATGCCAACAACAAACCAAGTGATGTTAATCCTAAAAGTGAGAAACTGAGTGGACATGCAGTGCAGAATTGGTGTCTACTAAGAGTTCTGCCAGTCTTAATTGGAGACAAAATTCACAACCCAATGGAAAATGATGTGTGGCAACTGGTGCTGCAACTAAGACAAATAGTTGAGCTGATATGTGCACCAAAGATAACCTCTGGTCAAATAGCATATATGAAAGTTTTGATAGAGGAGTATCTACAAAGCAGAGCGGAAAGTTTTCCAGATCAGCCACTGAAACCAAAACATCATTATTTGACTCATTACCCAGACCTGACCATTCACTTTGGGCCTCTCATTCGTTTATGGACTCTCCGATTCGAGAGTAAGCATACGTATTTCAAACAATGTGCTCGCAAACTGCACAACTTCAAAAACCTCTGCTCCACTCTAGCTGAAAGGCATCAGCTTCTGCAAGCATACCTTAGTGCTGGTTCTATCCTCCCACCATGTGTTGTCATTGAAAGAGGCACAGACTTTTTTGTACAGGACTACAGTGATAAGATACAAGAATCAGTTGCCTCTTTTAGCTTTCAGCCTGCCAGTACTGTTGCAGCACACGAAGTTAGAGTCAAAGGCACACTGTATAAAAAGAACATGTGTGTGATCCTGGAGAAAAATGACGAAGGACTTGTCTTTGGCAGGATTAAGTTAATTTTGATCCAAAATGTTACTGCTGTCTACTTTGTCACAGAAAAATGCCAGTCTGTCTGTCTTGTTGATCAGGGGGTTTATTGTCTCACAGAAAGTACATGCTATGTCTGCACTGAACACAAAAGGCTACTTGACTACTATCCTCTGCCAGAGTATGATATGTTTGGCTTGCCAGTGGTCTCACTTCACCACTCCTTTCCATTTTTATAGGATGCTGGAGCCTTGTGATGTGATAAGGGAGGCCATTGTCTCTGCACTTCCCAGTATCCCTGTCGAATCACTAGGTCGTATGATGGAGAAGTTGATACAACAAGGAGTGGAAACAGAGGAAGACCTGCAGTATGTGAGAGAACAAGACATTGAAGACTTCATAAAGCCAATTCAGTGCAGAAAACTTCTGGCTTCCTGGAAACGCAAAGGTAATTAAGGTTTAAAATTTCAGACTCTTGTTTCCAAAATGATTTCTACATGACATTAAATGAAATACTTTTTATAAATTGCAATAACAGAAGCGCACAGAATGGGGGGAAAAATCACTTGGAGAAGACGTAGTTACAAATCAAAATAATTTCATAGGGAACTATACATTTGACAAAACTATACAATGTGATAGTGTAATCAGAGAAGACTTCACAAAAAATAATCAAATTAGATAACATGCAGAGATATACTTATGAAATCACACCTAGATAGTTGTTGCACAGTAATGTAAACGTATTGCTAAACTACAGAGATTGAGGCAGACATTTTGTTTGATGTCTTAGAAGTATCACACACCAGCACATCAGAATGTGGAAAATGTGGAGATTATATGATTACATGCTCATGAGACAAAATAGGGTACTAATATTTTTTTTTATGTTAAAGTGAAAAAGCAAAGTGTATTATGCAATAATGACAGTGATAGATGCTATCAGATATTGATCCATATACGTGTAATATTTTCCCCATTCTAGAGCCCATGTCTATTTCTGCCCCACCAACGCAGATGTCCTCATGCATCTCACTGGACCAGAGCTCCTCACACTCAAGCAGTTCCTTGTCCTGTCCTTCAGCATCACCCTTGCCTGCTGGGAAAAACTGGCCTGACGCTTTTAAAGTAAACTGGGAAAAGATGACTTCCAGTCTTAACATGTGCCTCCAGAATGGAAAAAGGCCCACACCAGCAGATAGGAGACAGATGATCCGTGTACTGGTTGATGACATACGGAAAATTGAGGTGAATCCAAGCAGAGCCCAGTGTCTTATCATTGCAACAGACATTGTGCGACAGTATCCCCAGTCATTTATGGATACACTGGATGATGGCAGAACAACTGTGGGGGCAGGTTATGAATCTCTTCTGTGTCAAATAAAAACACGCATTGAACACTTAAACAGAAACAACACACTTGCTCGTCGCAGAGCATCAAAGGCTACAAATGGAACTAAACCCCAGCGAAGACCTACAGACACATACGGTTGCACACAATGGCAGCCTGAACTTCCACCTGAGGAGACAGAGGCATCTCTAGAAGATGATAGACAAAAGCTGATGGAGCTCTTTTCTAGAGAAGGTTCTTCAGGAATGGAAAGAGCAGAAGTGTTAAAACTTATGGAAAAGACATACTACTTGCAGCGTCAAATGATAAATGCAAATCCTGCTCCAGCCTTGGAACATGTGAAGCAACAATGGCCATATTTGTTCTTCCCAAGGAGCATGTGCACTCACTTTGAAGTTCTGACCGATGTGTCAATTGTCCGAAAGATTGAGGCTTTTCTTGAAGAGCATGGCAAAAACATCATGGAGTTCTTCAAAAAAAATCCAACCAATGATGACGTGAAGAATGTTCTCTTCAGGACTGACTGTAGTGTGACTGCTTCAAACATCCTCCAGGTGTTAATGGCACACTTCAAGGAGCCACTGGATGCCCTCATCATCCAAACTGATGTAAGATTATCTTAGTTTCAGTGTGTTTTAAAAATATTACATACACTTTCTTCCAGAGATGGGAGATGTGGGGTCAACGAATCATCTCCATGCCATGTGTTTGTTCTGCCCAACCAGTGAACCAGGTGAATCCAATCAGCACCGCTTGTGCTGATTGGCTGATTGTGCTGATTGAACACTGACACAAGCGGTGCTGATTGGACTCACCTGGTTCACTGGCTGGGCAGAACAAACACATGGCATGGAGATGACTCATTGACTTCACATCCCTCATCTCTGCTTTTTTCTTACTTAATAACAAGGGTGCCAAGGTGGTTCCAGAAAGGGTTGTGTGGCTGCAGGTTTTCATTGAAACCAAGCAGTAACACACCAGACTCCACTCATCTCATCAAGTGAGTCCAGTCTTAACCTGAAGACTTGATGAGTGGAGTCTACTGCTTGGTTTAAATGAAACCTGCAGCCGCACGGCCCTTGCTGGAACCACCTTGGCACCCCTGCTTTACAAAAAGTCTTTCCATTATTGTAAAAAAAAACCTAGTCCATTCATTGCCAGTCAAAATGTCTCTAATAATTCTTTTT